TAGATAGATAGAAAGAAAGAAAGATAGATAGATAGAAAGATAGATAGATAGATAGATATATAGGTAGATAGATACAAAGATAGATAGATAGAGAGACAGACAGACAGATAGATAGGTAGATAGATAATAGATAGATAGATAGATAAATAGATAGATAGATAGATAGATAGACAGACAAATAGATAGATTCAGATAGATAGATAGATAGCATGGGCCATTAAGTGTCCCCATTGAACACCACCCAACCATTAGGTATATGGTCTATAATGGCTACTATAAGGTGATGTCCAATATACCCAAAATGGGACAGTTACCAACCCCTGGATAGATAGATAGATAGATAGATAGATAGATAGATAGATAGATAGATAGATAGATAGATAGAGAGATAGATAGATAGATAGGTAGGTAGACAGATAGACAGATAGATAGGTAGATAGATAGATAGATAGATAGACAGACAGATAGATAGATAGACCGATATATAGATAGATAGAGATAGATAGATATAGATAGAGATAGAAAGAGATAGATAGAGATAGATAGAGATAGAAAGAGGCAGATGGAGATAGATGGAGATAGATGGAGATAGATGGAGATAGATAGAGATAGAAAGAGATAGAAAGATATATATATATATATAGATATAGATAGATATAGAAATAGATAGATGTAGATAGATATAGAAATAGATAGATGTAGATAGATATAGATAGATATAGAAATAGATAGATGTAGATAGATATAGATAGATATAGATAGATATAGATATAGATATAGATAGAGATAGAGATATAGATATAGATATAGATAGATATAGGTATAGATAGATATAGATTAGATTAGATTAGATTATATTTATCTTTAGATTTAGGTTAGATTTAGATAGATATTTCATGGGTTATCATGGTGTATACATGCTGAAGGCCAATGTTTTTCTGATTTTGCTGAGAATGCGCATATCCGGGCCATTTCCAAGTCAGGCGCAGCGGCGAAGTTACCAGCAATTTGCTGCTCAAATGCCGTCTGGAATCTTTGGTTAAAACATGTAAAATGAACATATCACAGTCCATGTCTGTGAAATTTGCCGCAAATCTATCACATTTAGATAGGCCAAGAAGCTAGCTAACTTGTTCTTACCCCTTTTTGCTTGGTGTAAATGTTACCCTGTATATATATATATATGTGTGTGTGTGCGTGTGTGTGAATAATCTACATGCTATTATATACACTATAAATCACTATAATCATATTTACATATGTGTCTGCGTGTTTGCACTATTCTCTCTCTCTCTCCATGGCCATCTCCAGGAGTTCAGCTGGGCGAATTTATTATGTACTGTATATATGTCTATTCTTGGTTCTGATTATTGATTAACCCCTTGCACTTGGGTAGGCGGGCCAATTCATGGCCTACAAGAAGCAGTTTCAGAAACGAAGCTGCGAACCATTTGGCAAACCGCGCCTGGTGGAAGAGGCATTGCGCTGCTGCTCCTGGTTGTAGAGCCGCTGTGCCATGGCAAATAACGACCTGGGGTGCGCGCGCGCGCGACAAGTGAAGCGCAGCTTGCAACGGCCAGGTGTCCGGGGTTTATAAACGGCGTAAAACAAGAGGTAAAATGACAAAATCCTTCCGCTTATGGACATCATTTACCTATCATATCATATCCCATAATAGGTTGGAACATGCCTATTCTATTTGCACGAGTTTTATAGTTTTTTACAGGAGAACTATAGGCTTCACATGATTTCACCATCAAGTATAGGGGCTGCCTGTTCAAGTTTTCCTGGACTAGTTCTGGTGGAAACATCAAATGGAGGTATCCTACATGTTCTCACTTTGAACCAGTTTTTCGAATGGTTGAGTGAGTCAAAAAATACTGGTCACAAACTTGTGAACCCAGAATATGGGAGGACTAAGAGGATCAACAAAGATCTTGAGGGCTTCAACCTGACCAATTCAATTCATATAAACTCTCAAGTTTGGGTTGTCCGGAAATGGGGGAAAACAAACGTAACCCTAACATTGCCAAATATGGAGCAAAAAGCTGAGAAGCCATGGAATTTTGAGGTACCCTACTTGTCAAGGACAAATCCGAATAGGAAAACAGAAATGGGTTACCCTCTGGTAAACTAACGTAACTATAGAAAATCACCATTTTTAATGGGTAAATCCACTATAAATGGCAATTTTCAATAGCTATGTTAGTTTACCAGAGGGTAATCTGAAAATAGAACCGCCAAAGCCTAATGATTATCATAAGGTTCTCATTAAGATTGTAATTTGGGGGAGTGTACCCTATTTTCAGGAACACCCAAATCAAGCTCCTTCTTGCAAACCGAGAGGGACGAAGTGTCTTTGGAACAATCCACATCGGTTGCCTCAATGCCTTCCTGAGTCGGGTGGGCAAGGTGCTGCAAATCATGACTTTGTTGGCTGATGACTACTGGGGGGAGGCACTAGGAGTCCAAAGAGAACACAATGAACATCACCAGGAGCATTTTAATCACATTGCCTAATACCCAATTATCTGCCCATTACATCCCCGCTTTATCGCCGGTTCCATGATCCGAATAGTTTCAATTCAACCCATACAGCAGGTTTGGAGCCATCGAATTGCAGCCTTGGCCACTCAACTTAACACTCCCTTAGCATGGCTTACTTGTATTCATCCAACAAGTTGATTGAATTATATACCATTGTACCCGCCTGTAAAAACAAGGTTTCGAATTTTAGGCCGTGTTGGAGCTTCAATCATGATGTAAACAAAGAAGTACATAAATACAACAACATATACATAAATCAATATGTATATATATATATATATAAATGTCATATATTGTGTATATATATATATATTATATGCGTGTAAAGACCAGCAAAATGAGATAAGTATCATTAATTATCTGCCGTCCATTAATAAATCTCATCACCACCCAACTCCCAGTTGGTTCCCCACGACAGCTCTTCACCGCCAAAGCGCCGGTGGAGGATAGGGTGGCCATAGGTCCAACTGCTGACACCTGACATGGCTTGACATGGATATCCGTGGATTCCCGCATATAGATGCATATGGCTACTATGTATGTGTATATATATAATTATATATATATATATAATATTATATAAAAATGGTTAATCATATATACTGACATATTATTTATCCCATTATGTGAGTTCGGTTGTAACCAATGTGGTTCTGAATCGCTAACCAGGATGATCAGGATGCACATCCAGAGCGTTCCCTCTCCAGTGCCTGGCGACCATTGAACATCGCATGCTTTCGGACCACAAAATGTTGAAGGCCTCATTCAGCTCGGTGGCTAAGGCCTGCCGCGGAAGACAAGGGTAAAGAAACGTTTTGCAACCTACGGAGGTTAGGATGCAGAAATCTAAACCGTCAGCAGCCAATACACTCGGCAAGCCAACCTCTTTGGAACATTTTGAGCCAATGAATCGACATGACCTGAATGACTCACATCCCGGTCTGCATTGGGAAGCTGTTTCACATCGTGTTTACCCATTCCAGCCCCCTATGAAATCCTTCCAGAGAGTGGGGCCCAAAAATGATTCGATCATTTCGATCCAATACTAAATTAGGGGTTCTGGCTGGCGCGTTTTCTCAGGGAGATCCTTTGACAACTTGGCTGCCACAAATCCCGCTATGCGTGCCACCTGATCTGTCTGCCCTCGAACTTTCTCCATGAACTCCTGGCCGCAACGAGCTGCAACGGCAGCTCGTCAACTTTCACACCTCCCCAGTTGCCCAAACCTAAAACTGATATGATACAGCCATAGAGTCTACAAAGTTAACATATCTTGAAGAAAATCACATGTCCGAAAGCACAGGGACCAAGGATAGCGACTACCATTGTTTCCAGAAAGTGCTTCATCTTTTCTGCGAATGTGCTCAAATGAAGATATGTTCCTCAGTGAATATGCAGTACCGATTAGATGAGTACTTTAAGAAAACATTGCAGCTGCAAAAATTTCGTTTTTTTTGAGCGCGGAGCATATGTAATCACAGTGGAAATTATATGTATATATATATACATATATACAGAAACATGCACACGTACTGATTTTATGACGTACATAAATACGCATAGGGTGAAATCTTTATACACACGCAATTGTATGATGTATACATGAACATATGAGCAAATAATATTGAGCAACTATGCACATAAAGTTTAGACACAACACCAATGTATTGATATCGGTTTTGCATGTGAACTTCAGCTTGTATGCATATGGAATCATATGAATCTTACTGCTGGCTATAACTTTGACGTTTAACCACATATATGATATGTATTTAACTATTGCATATCGTATATCAAACAATTATTTTGCATATCATCTCTCTCTTTCTCTGTGTCTCCATCGCCTTTACATAATATATATATATATACATAGATAGATAATCAATTATAAGCAAATATATATACATATGTTTGTATGTGCATAGTGTGCCCCCGATTCCAATGCTTCTTCACTATCTCCGCGATTGCATGGCGTACCCATGTTTGGACCCAAGCATCATATGTTGCTTAGTGGCCTCACTATGGTTGGCTCAATCCCTCATGTTGGCAGCATAAATTATGATATCATATCCCACCATACTGCCACGTACATATCCCATTGTTGTTGCTTCTATATCCCATGATTATCACTTTAAATCATCATTAAATGGTTGGTTTGTGTTGGTTTTATGCCCCACTTTGCTGGTTAAACATCCAAATATCTGGTGCTGATTCGATCGCTCTACCCCTTTTTGATGGTTAATCCCCCCCATGCCCGCCCGCATTGCATGTGGCTGAATTAATTATAATATAAGTGAGTGACTAACCTGAAAATAGCTCTTATCAATTGTCATCATACTTACTAACCATCATTCCAGTGACGTCAAAGTGAGGCAAAGCCCCGTCCTGCACCGTGGGGGCGGCGTGCAGCTTCGATGCCAGCCTACTGCCTTCTGGAACCTCGTCACCTGGCACCATACGTGATGTCTAAAAAGTAAAAGCAACCTGCTTACGTGTATAAAAGATTATAAAAGTGCAAATAAATAACATAGAAACATAATCCTGTAATGTTCTACTACAATGATATGATTATGTGTGTAGTGAAGTATTGTATATTATAGTTGGTTCACCTGTCTAGATGAAATGATTAAAACTTTGTATGTGTGGGCAACCAACTTCATCCTCTACGGGCCGATGGTCTGCAGGATTGTTTCAAGTACCCGGGAAAAAGAATCGACCATTGAATGCGTGTAACCGAGCCCACCAAGAGAAAAGGCTCTGAAAACTCCCCCTCAGCATAGAAAACAAAGGAAAACAAACCATTTCCAATCAATTTATAGATGACATGTTCACATCTCATCCGCGCCCCCGCGCCGTCCGCGGGAAGCTCGGAGAAGGAGCCCTTCCGAAAGCGGCATCCGCTGTGACGGGCATAGCCCTCGGCGGCCTGCAGAAGCCTCGGCTGGTAGAGCAACATGGGAGATGGGGGATACTGTGGATGGTTGCAAAATTCTACATCAGTTGAAAGGTGATTTTTCCCCATTGAATAGGGTTTCAACCATCCGGTTGGTGGTGCAGGATATCGCAACCATCCACAGTATCATGGGGATACAATGTGGACCAAGTGATGATAAGTGGCCAAATATACAACATGCCTCTCTCTCTCTCTCTCTGAAAATCAATATCAATTCCTATATGGAATACTTTGAGAGAGAAAATGAACACGAATCAGCAGGTTTTGGGGTAACTTATTCTTCGACAGACCCATTAAATGGAGATGGACTCATATCATAAATAGTTCAAAACAGTTTTACACGAAAAAAAATCAAAATAGTTGCGTAAAAGAAAACATGAAATGACAATGGGAAACACAAAATGATGTGACATAGAAACCTTGGATATGTCCAGTCGGCTGGCAATGAGATGAGATTTTGGGATGCACAAATTGGCAATGGGGAAGCTGACTGACCTTTGTACAATGCGTTTTCTTTATATTATATTGTATTGCATTATATTGTATTATATTATATTATATTATATCATACTAAATTATATTAGATATTGTATTATGTACATAATTACATATAGATAGATATGTGTGTGTGTCCTTCCCTCCCTACTGCCTTCAGACAGACCGGCTGGAGATCTACATGTTTTGCTCCATATCCTGATTTCACATCAATTTACGCACAAAAAAAAACACCCAAATGCAGGTAAACAAGCAAGATACATTGAGGGTTGTAGAGCCACCTAGCGACCGCAAAAGCAGACCAAACGTCTCCAACAGATCTTTCTTCCCAGTGGCACTCTGAAGTGAGGGAAGGCTTTGGCGTCCAAAAAACCTGGAACAAAAGGTCTGTCACATCCAGCTTATCCTTTGTCCACCATGGTGCCACGTGACCATGGTCACACGGCAAACGGCACAAAGCAATACAATTTACACTGCAATAAATCAACAATATGGAAAATCCAAAATTTCTGGAAAAATAACTTGGGAAACCATTAATTTTACATACCTATGTGAATTTACTGGAGCTCGAAGGTTCCATGTGTACAGGAATCGCTCATTCATAAATAATATATGATAATAATATACCAAAACAATGGGGAGATTGCTTGATCAGGCCGGACTACCGGAGCGAAAAAAGGGGGTGCCGCAATTGCCTACGTCTCTGTGATCGGGTAAACATGTGCAAGCACCAATCATCTTTGCACACCCATGGTTCTTGAACCCACACCATCCATCTCAAATAAATCTGCTGAGACCTACCATGATTATATTGAGATATATCAAGGTGTATGTAAATTGAATTCACTCATAGTGGATTACATTGCATTCCATCTGACATGGACTATACTAAATGCACATATCATATTTTGATTATTTTTGCCATGTAGCTTTGATACAAATTTAGACATATCAACTCCTCCATTCGTCGGATCCCACGGCTGCCTTCTGGACGATCTTCCTTCTCCAATCCAAGCATTGCAGCAGCGCTTTTGGATGCGGAACCAGTTCTAAAAAATCGGCATAAAACGCCGTGATGTAACGCTGATGAATCATTTCTGCTATATCTACCCTATCCAAAAATATACTTAGGACAAAACTTCAGAAAAGAAACAACACGTGATGCAAAATTCAGCAACCAAATAAGCAAATTCATGATACGATGGAACTACCAGAGGCCAAGCTTGGTACAGGGCGCCCCAGCTGAAACGGCTACAGAAAGACTTTGCTGTGGAGGCTGTGCATATGTTCATTCCGATCTCCGGCACTTTCAGGTGCCCACCTGACATGTTGGAGGTTTACATGCAATCAATGCTCAAACGTTGGAAGGTCCAGGTAGCCTTCTTTGTACATTGTCCCTGTATTTGGGGCAGCTGTGCCTGAAAATGGCGAGACCAAGAAATTTGCCAGTGTTAATTCGGAACATGCTGATACCCCGTACCTAAACAAACCAATACACCATGTGAGCAATAGCTATCCCAACAGTGAGTTGCATGTTCCCTTTTCAATAGGAAAACACCCAAGATTAACGATGAACCAATGGGTTTTGACACTGCTCATGCGTGGTTAGCGACACCGCGCCTTCTTTTTGGCCCGCGCCATTTTGCAGCAGAAATTCCGTGCAGGTGTCCGGGAGATCCGGTCGCCTGCAAAAAACACATCCTGATGACCAGCTGAACCCGTAGGATGCTTTAACACATCCACAGTGCTGACAAGACACCTATTGGTTTAGTTACTACCGAAAGATTAGTTTGCCATATCAGTTCCTAAAACAGTTCCATGTTCATCCAACTTCAATATAGGGGTTGGGTGTGCACAGGGGGGTAGTGCCAAGGTATTCAGCCACCTCTAGGTGGATGGATTCCTAGGGTCCAAGGTTTTTAAGGCAGGGTTGAAAACCTTGGCCCAACATTTTAGCAATTTTGAGGTTCTTCGCTAACCTAGAGGTGAAAACCTTGATCCCAAGATTTCAACATAAAACAGCTTACTTTCGCATATAATGCTTAAAACCTTCAGCCCAAGATTCACAGGCCCAACTGTTGCTTAATAACTTGACCACACTCCATTAACGGTCGATCCAAGCTCTTGACAAAAAACTGTAGGTGGACGATGCGGCAGCGACACAGGTGGATCAGAAGACCGAGGTGTAGTTGAAAGTTTCCGAATGCGTTGACGAAGAAGTAACTTCATTCTAATGAAAATATGTAAAACCGATTGCCTGCGAAAACCAATGGAAGATTCAAAAATAAACTAAATTCAAGAAGCCAACTTTCGATTAGTTGTATAATCAATCTAATTTTGCGGAAATGACGCAATCTTGTTGGCGCCCTCTCTTTGCCCCGTGCCCAGGCAGATGGAAATGGACAAGCAGTTGAAGAGAAGGCAAGGGTTGAAAAACTTGGGCCTGAGAACAATGCCTGAAGAGAGCCAAACAGATCCACATGTTCTTTGGGTGAATCCCTTCTAGATCCTCTGGGGTTAAATACCTGGTCCCAAGGTCCCAGATTTGTATGAGATGCTTGTTGACCTGCGGATCCTGGGGGAGGTGGCAGGTTTAACCGGGCCAACCATAAGCACTAAAATTGCAAAATTTCAGGCCAGTTGTTCTTCATTAAGACCCTTATTTAAAATTGTTGTTTTTGAACCATTTTTGCATCCACAAAGGGGGGTCCCCTTGAAGTCCACCGATGTAGCCTGTTTTGCATGGTTTGCGGGTCTCCGAGCTTGCTCCGTGTTTTTGGTTCTCCGGGGTAAATACCTGGGCCCAAGGTTCATGCATGTTTTAGTGAAAACATCATAATCATCCATTTCCTCGGATCCCGTTGCAGATGCACTCAGATGCTCTCTCCAGGTGGACGATGCGCCGGCGATGCCGGATAAGAACACCGAGGTGTAGCCGAAAGTCTGGGATGGTTTGACTTGTTTAGGTTTTGTTGGTTTTGTTTTCCCAATCACTGATAACACTGTTTTGGAATGCGTTGACGAAAAAATGGCTCAACCAATCAATGTAATCAATTGTTTGGATTTTTGTCCGTGAAAAAAAATGATCCGCAGGAATCAACGGAAGATCCAGTAGATAAAGAGGTAAGTTCCGGTTGTTTGTATAACCAATTTACTTTTTGGGAAATGACGCAATCTTGTTGGCACCCTCAATTTTTGATTTATTTCCGGCTGCCCCGTGCCCAGGCAGATGGAAAGTGACAAGAAGCTGAAGAGAAGGCAAGGGTTGAAAAACTTGGGCCTGAGAACAATGCCTGAAGAGAGCCAAACAGATCCACATGTTCTTTGGGTGAATCCCTTCTAGATCCTCTGGGGTTAAATACCTGGTCCCAAGGTCCCAGATTTGTATGACATGCTTGTTGACCTGCGGATCCTGGGGGAGGTGGCAGGTTTAACCGGGCCAACCATAAGCACTAAAATTGCAAAATTTCAGGCCAGTTGTTCTTCATTAAGACCCTTATTTAAAAATTGTTGTTTTTGAACCATTTTTGCATCCACAAAGGGGGGTCCCCTTGAAGTCCACCGATGTAGCCTGTTTTGCATGGTTTGCGGGTCTCCGAGCTTGCTCCGTGTTTTGGTTCTCCGGGGTAAATACCTGGGCCCAAGGTTCATGCATGTTTTAGTGAAAACATCATAATCATTCATTTCCTCGGATCCCGTTGCAGATGCACTCAGATGCTCTCTCCAGGTGGACGATGCGCCGGCGATGCCGGATAAGAACACCGAGGTGTAGCCGAAAGTTTGGGATGGTTTGACTTGTTTAGGTTTTGTTGGTTTTGTTTTCCCAATCACTGATAACACTGTTTTGGAATGCGTTGACGAAAAAATTGCTCAACCAATCAATGTAATCAATTGTTTGGATTTTTGTCCGTGAAAAAAAATGATCCGCAGGAATCAACGGAAGATCCAGTAGATAAAGAGGTAAAGTTCCGGTTGTTTGTATAAACAATTTACTTTTTGGGAAATGACGCAATCTTGTTGACGCCCTCAATTTTTGATTTATTTCCGGCTGCCCCGTGCCCAGGCAGATGGAAAGTGACAAGAAGCTGAAGAGAAGGCAAGGGTTGAAAAACTTGGGCCTGAGAACAATGCCTGAAGAGAGCCAAACAGATCCACATGTTCTTTGGGTGGGGGTTGAATACCTGGTCCCAAGGTCCCAGATTTGTATGAAATGCTTGTTGACCTGCGGATCCTGGGGGAGGTGGCAGGTTTAACCGGGCCAACCATAAGCACTAAAATTGCAAAATTTCAGGCCAGTTGTTCTTCATTAAGACCCTTATTTAAAAATTGTTGTTTTTGAACCATTTTTGCATCCACAAAGGGGGGTCCCCTTGAAGTCCACCGATGTAGCCTGTTTTGCATGGGTTGCGGGTCTCCGAGCTTGCTCCGTGTTTTGGTTCTCCGGGGTAAATACCTGGGCCCAAGGTTCATGCATGTTTAGTGAAAACATCATAATCATTCATTTCCTCGGATCCCGTTGCAGATGCACTCAGATGCTCTCCAGGTGGACGATGCGCCGGCGATGCCGGATAAGAACATCGAGGTGTAGCCGAAAGTTTGGGATGGTTTGACTTGTTTAGGTTTTGTTGGTTTTGTTTTCCCAATCACTGATAACACTGTTTTGGAATGCGTTGACGAAAAAATGGCTCAACCAGTCAATGTAATCAATTGTTTGGATTTTTGTCCGTGAAAAAAATGATCCGCAGGAATCAACGGAAGATCCAGTAGATAAAGAGGTAGAGTTCCGGTTTGTATGTATAACCAATTTACTTTTTGGGAAATGACGCAATCTTGTTGACGCCCTCAATTTTTGATTTATTTCCGGCTGCCCCGTGCCCAGGCAGATGGAAAGTGACAAGAAGCTGAAGAGAAGGCACGGGTTGAAAAACTTGGGCCTGAGAACAATGCCTGAAGGGAGCCAAACAGATCCACATGTTCTTTGGGTGAATCCCTTGTAGATCCTCTGGGGTTAAATACCTGGTGCCAAGGTCCCAGATTTGTATGAGATGCTTGTTGACCTGCGGATCCTGGGGGAGGTGGCAGGTTTAACCGGGCCAACCATAAGCACTAAAATTGCAAAAATTCAGGCCAGTTGTTCTTCATTAAGACCCTTATTTAAAATTGTTGTTTTTGAACCATTTTTGCATCCACAAAGGGGGTCCCCTTGAAGTCCACCGATGTAGCCTGTTTTGCATGGTTTGCGGGTCTCCGAGCTTGCTCCGTGCTTTGGTTCTCCGGGGTAAATACCTGGGCCAAGGGTTCATGCATGTTTTAGTGAAAACATCATAATCATCCATTTCCTCGGATCCCGTTGCAGATGCACTCAGATGCTCTCTCCAGTTGGACGATGCGCCGGCGATGCCGGATAAGAACACCGAGGTGTAGCCGAAAGTTTGGGATGGTTTGACTTGTTTAGGTTTTGTTGGTTTTGTTTTCCCAATCACTGATAACACTGTTTTGGAATGCGTTGACGAAAAAATTGCTCAACCAGTCAATGTAATCAATTGTTTGGACTTTTGTCCGTGAAAAAAAATGATCCGCAGGAATCAACGGAAGATCCAGTAGAAAAAGAGGTAAAGTTCCGGTTGTTTGTATAACCAGTTTACTTTTTGGGAAATGACGCAATCTCGTTGACGCCCTCACTTTTTGATTTATTTCCGGCTGCCCCGTGCCCAGGCAGATGGAAAGTGACAAGAAGCTGAAGAGAAGGCAAGGGTTGAAAAACTTGGGCCTGAGAACAATGCCTGAAGAGAGCCAAACAGATCCACATGTTCTTTGGGTAAATCCCTTCTAGATCCTCTGGGGTTAAATACCTGGTCCCAGGTCCCAGATTTGTATGAGATGCTTGTTGACCTGCGGATCCTGGGGGAGGTGGCAGGTTTAACCGGGCCAACCATAAGCACTAAAATTGCAAAATTTCAGGCCAGTTGTTCTTCATTAAGACCCTTATTGAAAATTGTTGTTTTTGAACCATTTTTGCATCCCAAAAGGGGGGTCCCCTTGAAGTCCACCGATGTAGCCTGTTTTGCATGGTTTGCGGGTCTCCGAGCTTGCTCCGTGTTTTGGTTCTCCGGGGTAAATACCTGGGCCAAAGTTTAATGCATGTTTTAGTGAAAACATCATAATCATTCATGCCATCTGGAAAAACAGACACCATCAGACACCAGGTGTGTCTGACAGTACTGTGTTTGATCATCATTTTCCCGTTACAGAAACATGTGCGTGTATATCCTATATTTAAATAAATCATATGCGAACGCATATCTATATAGTGCATTATAGTGCAACATCCACAGTGGTCATATGCAGTCATCATTTTTCTTCACCGTTGTTCAAGGACAGGGGTTAAAAACCTATGATGCAACATTCCCAGTGTTTTTGAAGTTTGTTTTGTCACAGGGGTGAAAAGCTGGTGGCCAAACATCTTTAAAGATTTCTCTGTTCACGAAGCCCGGTGTCTGAAAACCTAGGGCCCTTGATTTCGACATCAAACCAGACTACCATCATTGCAGGTGGTGAATTGCTGAGTCTAAGGTTTTGCCCATATGTTTCAGCCACCACTCCGGTGGTAAAAAAAGGGTGGCACCAGCCTCAGGTTTTAAGACAGGGGCACCAGATCCCTATCACAAGATATGTCTAAAAAACCCGTTTGATTTGTTCCCATTACACAAACATGTGTATATGCATATTCTGTGTATATGTATGCACTGTATATATATATACATACATATCGATATAGATACATTTATGAATACATACCTATAATGCAACATCTACAGTGGTCACATGCAGTATCATGCAGTCATCCACAGGGGCTAAAAACCTATGATGCAACATTCCCAGTGTTTTTCAAGTTTGTTGTGTCACAGGGCTGAAAACCTGGTGGCCCAACATTTTCAAAGATTTCTCTGTTAACGAGGCCCGGTGTCTGAAAACCTAGGGACTGAGATTTTGATAAAAAATCACATTACCATCATTGCACGGGCTGAATTCCTGAACCCAAGGTTTTGCCCAAACCACTCCGGTGGTAAAAAGGGTGGCACTAGCCCCAGGTTCTAACCCAGGGACGCCCAACCCCTATCTTCAATGTGATACAAAAGAAAGTAATACCACATAGTGAACTGAAATAACACAACATGCCATTAACATAAAATATCAAAATATAATATCGCATAATTAAATATATAATATCATATAGCAACATATAAATGCATATAAAAACAAATAATATCTCGAATAATTAATATAATATAATATAATGTCGTCATATACTATATTACTAGTTACTATATTTAAATATGTTTAAACAATGATATCAACAATGGTTCTAAAGATACCCAAAACTATTTTCCCATTGCCAGCTTGGATTTCAAGAGATCAGAGGGGTCATGTTGGGACCATTGCTTTGTATACGCCAATGAAAATCCAGTGCTAATCCAGTCCAACTCGCAGCAGGATTCGCTGCTCCAAATGCTTCAACTGTCAGGTGGGCCGAATGGCCGGGCGCTTCAACACGCTTTTTAAAGACCTTGGCCACCGGGCTGGGACTGGGATATCGTGGGTGTATACAGTACACATGATTCGCTCACCCCTATCTCCAGAAGTATTTCTAGCTGACAATGCACGTATCATGGTGGCCAAAAGCAAAGAGAGCAATGCAATGAGGAACTTCAATTGGTTTTCCAAGATCAGCATCTGGGAAATCAATGCTGAATCAGCATGTCCACTACAAGAATTGAACCCCACATTGATCGTCGGAGTTAAAACCAAGTGACTTCATGGGCGTCGATTTTGGCGAAGCTCTTGGCGACGCTTTCGGCGACGCTTTCGGCGTGGCTTTGGGCGTGGCTTTGGGCGTCGCTGTACGGGGCGTCGCGGGTGCCCTTGCCTTCCGACTGGGTGCGTCAGGGCTGGCGGTGCCCCAGCCATTCTTGGCCTCGCTCGTTTGACATTTTGGCTTTGAGTGACAAAGGTTTTTGGAAAGTCGTCATTGAAGACCCCAATGGAAAACTGGTTGGCAGACAGCAATCTATCCGGTTTAACGAAAGTGTCTTTCGCTATTCTTCCCTAATCTTCTCTCCCCCTCTGACCGCGCAGCGGCCAAGGCTCTGCAATCTTTTTAAACTCCTCATATTTTTCGGACGGGATCTCGCCTCGGCTGATAGGTAGGGAATGGTAGGGATGTACTGGGTTATCAAACCGAGGTGATGACCATTTAACAGGAAAAACGCACATTCACACAAACCCATGCATGTGATGCTCTGGGGCAATGAAATAGATAAACTTTATGGCAACTTTCTTTGAGTGGTCCCCACCCGCTGACATTCTAGCCGTTTTGTCCCAGGGGACGTCCCAGCTCGTAGGTCGGCATCAACAGAAAACCCTCAGTTGTTTGGCCATGTCCTTGATCTTCCGTTGTCCTTGAACTTGATGTTGATTTCCCGTCAACATCCAGGGCCTGTATTATACAGTATACAGTTTCGCCAAGTGACCTCCAGCCTTGCAGTTTTTGCTGCGACTGGGCAGGCATGGATCCATTCAATGGCTGTCATATATGGATATATATATATGGTACAAACGGACGGATTACTGAATCAGTCGCGGGCGACTTCGCAATTGGTGTTTGTGCTGGTGTGGAAGAGCCATTCAGTTCGGCCTTTTGGTAGCGTTTACATGGTGAACATTGTGCAAGGCCAACCACGCTGCTGGAGCTACGATCTCGTGGATATCACAGTGTGGTGTCAGCAACACTTCGTAAGGGTCGGTAACTATTGCTTTTCAGCTTGCACCGGCCGGTTTGATGTGCATGTTTTGTTCGGGCAAAGTCTAGCGCAGCTAGCCCATCGCTGGCTACATCATTTGCTGGAACTTTGGGGTATTTCTCTGCATTCAATATATGTGCCGGGCAAACCTCTGCATTGGGCATCAGTTGAGCGTTGCAATATGTGACAGGTGGAGCGCCATTCGTTTCCTCAGGGAACACCTAGGAGCATACACTGGTTAACTTGAGTGGATCATAGTGGATCCTTTTCGGTTTGGTCATCGTTGCTGAACAGGATCGATGATCCTATTCTGATTTTGAGTACGATAGCAGCTAGCACCCACGGCACCACTGTGACTGGTCCCTGGTGCGCTGACACAGCTCGTTCGAACCTGGGGTCTTGCACACGTGGGGGTTTAGCAGAACATTTTCCTGTCTGAGGTGTTTGAATATCCATGCCTGGCACAGCCCACGGCTTGAGCTTTGATCATGCAGCCCTAGCTGCTTTTTGATCAACAATGAACCACATGTGATCATATTGCAGCCACCTGTGCAATGTTTGATTTTGTATTGACTTGGGCGCACAGGAGCTCAAATGGAAGGCGGCTGGTGCTCACCATGGTGCTCACCTGCCTTTGAGGTTTTAGTTGTTGTAGTGTGTGTGTCGATCTCAGCCTCGTGGCTATGATTGGCACCGCTTCTATGTCTCCTCGCTGTTCTTCAGCGTCAAAGTGGGGCTGTGTGCCTCATGTGATGGTATAGTTAGTTGTTTGATGCTGTGTGTGTTCGAAGCACGCCATGTTTTTTTCGTGCATAACTGTGACATATTGTGAGAAGTGCAAGGATCCCGGGCCCTCTTCACAGCAGATGCATTCATCCGCAAAGCCGCAAAGCAAAACCCACCGACATTCACTCCGCATTCTTTTTGAATTTTTATCTGACATGTATTCTGATATTCTAACAATTTCTAACAGGCATTTTATCTGTTAGCTGACATTTTAATCATTTTATCTGACATATATATATTCTGAATTTCTAAATCTGGCATTCTATCCGACATTCTATGTGACAAGTGCCCACTGAGCTCTGGCGCTTGCTGTTGAGTTCCGTAGTGCCCACTGACATCTGGCGCTCGCGGTTGAGGTCCCCCATTGAGATCTGGCGCTCGCAGTTGATGCAGAGGCGGAGTCCGAGGCAGGCGGAGGCAGGCGGAGGCAGGCGGAGGCAGGCGGAGGCGGGCAGCACCCCTGATAAAATCTAGAGACCCTCACCTGGCAGGTGGGGAAAAATACCACCACCACCACCACCATCATCATCATCATCATCACACATCGCCATCACCATCCCCATCACGATCACGATCACCATCACCAAAACCATCACCATCACCGTCACCGTCACCGTCATCGTCGTCGTCATCATCACCATCACCATCACCATCACCATCACCATCATCATCCTCATCCTCATCCTCATCCTCATCCTCATCCGCATCCGCATCCTCATCCTCATCCTCATCCTCCTCATCCTCCTCCTCCTCCTCATCCTCATCATCATCATCATCATCATATTCATATACCCTTCTTGCCAGTCCTCAGGGTGCCCTCCCCAATTTGAGGTTAATTCGCTTAAAGAGTCCTCTTGCTACATATTGTTACCAATCATCTGAGAGGCTTGCAGGCAGCTGACCAAAGGACATCCCTATCCCGTGATCATTGTTCACATCCTAGTTTTATTTGTACAACCCATGATTTTGCTTTCTCATGTGCCAATGTTTGGATTTCATTCTACACATTGAATTTGTTCCAAAAACAGAGCCCACTCTTGGACCCCATTCGTTCTGAAGGTTAAGTCAAATTCAACAGCATGGGCACATTGCCAAAAACAAAACATGGATAGATTTGGTCCATTCTTGAGTTGAGCATAGTTGATACTTATCCTTGATAATACTTTGTTTAACCAGTGATGATTCTCAATCCCATTCCGACGGTTCATCCCAGGAATTGTAATTAACTAAGTGGATCAAGTTCACCCCAACTAAACTCACTAGACTAAGATAGATGAAGTAGGGGCAAAGTCCAGTCCATTGGGGTTTACTTCATCCACAGAAAAAGGTCTTAAAGCGACACCAAACTCTAAGTGCTCCGTCCAAGCGACCGTTGACGAAGCCGTGGGTTGGCACCCCCTCGTGCTTGGCGGCATCCTTCAGGTGCTGCTTGCACAACTTCTGGCCCTCCGCCGGCTTTGTGCACCTCGGCGAAGAAAGGTGCCCTAGGGAGCTGAGCCAAGCGATGATGACAAGTTAGGCTATTTTACCGGCAAGAACAGGGGAGTTATTGAAAAACACAAAGGGGGTTAGAGTTGGATTTAGTTGGCGAAGGTGGAACTGAGCTGGTGAACTGTTGAGTTCATGGTACATATCGAACATGATCGGACTAGTTAATGGGGCGAAACGTCAACCAACAAACATAACTGAGGGGCACAGTTGAAGAAAACACTTGGGGAAACTATCGGTTTAACTTAGCCAACAAAAACGATGGGGATCCTGTTTTGAAAAATACATGTTAACCAATTTCGTAGGAAATTACAAATAACTGTAAATAAAGTTGTGGATTTCACTGTCACTGATTTCACAGCAAAATAATTGGTTGATGTCGAACCAAAAGTGATATTTTGGAGATGCTGATGCAGTTGCCAACCACCATGTGCACACCGACCAACACACATAGGATCACATAGGGTTAGTTGCGACCACTATCAGCCACTTGTGAATTGCCTTTACTTAATTATTACAAGTGCACAGGCATTCTTTCAGTCCATTGAACACAGATCCTCCATGGCCTACGCGACATGCAAAGGATTCTTCTGATGACATGAGAAAGTCATGACTCATGGCATGAACATAACTGGTTGGTGGTATACCTACCCCTCTGAAAAATATGAAAGTCAGTTGGGATGATGATTCCCAATATATGGTAACTAAATGTTCCAAACCACCACTTTATTCCACTTTATCGGATGCGCTGCCAGAAATCCAATGCTGACAGCCCATGGTTGGGGTTACAGCCTATGCACAGCTCAGAACCACTTTGGGAAACCTATCGTCAGCTGCGAAACACGGCAATCCTTCAATGGCTTTGGATGTGCGACGAACACCTGATGGGCAAGACCTGAAAATCCACTCATCGACCCAGAGCAACCTGTTGGGACACCAAGGCAAAGCCAAACTACCTGTATGGAGATTCAACGCCGTGGATTGTGGTCGACAGAAAGCATACAGCGCCTGGTGACCAGCATGACGTAGAGATTCCTTAAGTATTTTGCTGAACCAACGTGCCCTTGTTTGAAATGAGACAGCTAAAAGGTCTAAATGAGGAGTCAATCGGCCAGGTTTCCATTCGTCAATTTTGGTAGGCCCTATTTCACCGCATAGCATGTAGTCAATGTACAACTGGTACTGAGAGACCCACACAACCGGGTGACGACTCTGATCCAAGGCAAACCAATACCACGACAGGATACTGCGCACGACTTCATCACCATACCATCGTACCGCCTTCCATGGGACTGCAAAAGGGCCAAGCGGGGTCCAAGCATCATCAGGGGCCTGAGCAGGAGCAGCCAAGTCTTCCCTCACCATCATGTCTTCCCCATTAGCGTCTTTCACAGCAACCCTACTAATGGCAAGCATAACCTTTTGAACCACACGCGAAATGCGCAGACAAGACAAGCTTGCACTGCAGAAACATGTTTGTCAACCAACGTCCAAAAATACGCCGGTCTCTGCAACTGAGCAAGATTGGCCGCCTGGTCCACAATGGCATTATGCGAAATAATCCACTCTTCAAAAGGCGATGTTGCCTTCGACAGTTGTTGATGTGCCTGAACCTTTCGTATGTGAACCTGATCTGGGCGGAAATCTGCAAGGGAATCCCAAATGAGCTGCCACAAATCAGAGTGTGCACTATTCGGCTTAGGTTCCTGGCCAGCCAAAAGTCGGGAAAAGCGCTTGACTGCAGCACCACAATCACTCCAAAGAAAAACCCTCCCCGTTTGAAATCGAGCCAACTGCAGTGCCTGGCAAATAGCAAAAATCTCGGCCCGATAAGCACTTTGGAGTAAGCCGGGCAAGGGCCCCGACCCACATGTTTGGCCTACATAAGGCATGCTCATGGACGCCAGAACCACCGCCCATGCGGCATATCTACAGCTAGGGAAGGCTTGGTTGACACAACTTCCATCAGTGAAAAAATGGGCATCAGTCTGAAGGTCGAGCAGCGGAGAGACCTCCTGCACTTCAATTTGGCACAAATATTGATTCCAAGACAACATGGTATATGGGCGCAAACTCCATCCATAGCCTGTCAAGAAGTCAGGTGCTCCCGCAAGCAATGCTTCAACATCGGCAGGAATGTCTGCCCTCTCAGCCTGAAACCGTTCACAAACCCAAAATCTATGGAACCTGGAGTCTGTACTGTCACAGTACGGGCAAAGCTTTGACCCACGCTCCTGGCAATATGCTTTTCCATCTTGGGTTATATGACTACCATTCAAGCAACGGTGAAAGAGTTCCCTGTCTTCATTGGACAGAGTGGCCAGAAATGCACGAGTATCACTTGCATCCGCAAACTGCAAATTTGCAAATCCTGGGCGATGAGCCACCTGTTGGGCAACAACTGACTGCCATGCCCACTGAGCCCGGAGAGTGATTTCAGCCATGCAATTGTGAAAAAGGGAAAAGGATCCTAAATGATCTAAAATGCTACCATCATGCGCGATGCTCCATCCCAAAGTCTGGATGCGAGTCAACAAGGTGGCACTAATGCTGTTGTCAGGCAGCATCACAGGCTCATGGACCAAGGTGCACAGGGCCTGGGTCACTTGCTGAGGATCGCCGCAATCCCTTGAGCAACGGATGGTTTGGATAATTGACCAAAATTGAGGATCCATGAGTGCATTTTCCACTAGGCCCATATGGACCCATGCATTGCATCCCGCCCCGTCTGAGTTGAGTCCTTTGACTGCCCCAGCACGCAAAGTCTGATAAGTAGCATCACTCACTGTTGTTGCCGCCACTGCGTGCAAAGCTCGTGGCCATGCTGCCACCAGAATCGCCCTTGTCTTGGTTTTGTAGGAACACGCCGACATGCGAAGTCTCGGCCACAACTCAGCCATGGAGGAAATCCGGTCCATAAGCGCAGCATTAGTGTGTTTACGGGACATTTGCACATGAGCACCTAGGTTCTTGGAAGCAAGCACCACCGTAAAACCTTGTGATCGCAGCATACGTCGTCCGTCAGGCACCAAAGACCATGCATATGTTTTCCTGGCATCCAACTGCAGATCAACAGCTTCAACAAACCGGTCTAAACATGCTTTGGCACCAGGCAACAAAGAACAGTCAGGGCAAATCAACTGCCAATCATCAACATATGACAGTGGTGTACACAATGGAAAGAATGCGGCTTGCCAGTGGTGGAAGGCCATGTCTATCAGGAGCATGGCAACACAGCTAAGGCCACAACCTTCTGGAAACCCTGTGACACTTGGTATGCCTTCTGTCAAAGAACCCCGCAAGAGAAACCTCCTACGCATTTGAGTCAAGGCACCTGCCCAGGCCAAGAGCATGTTACAAGGGAGCCCCAGGTGCCCTGCCAGCTCAAACACCACCAAACGTGGCAGCATGTTGAAGGCTTTTTGCAGGTCTGCAACCAGGCCAGTGAGCCCTATGTTTTGGTGGAAGGACCGCTCAATGCACCATAGCAATTTTGCCCATACCTGCCCAGCATAGCGCCCAGGGCGATTACCAAACAGAGTCTCAGGCAATCCAGCATCCAGCACCATGAGCGCCCGCTTTGCTTGATAGGAACTCCGCAGCCGGTACAAAAGGCTAAATACTGTAATGGGTCGGAAATCAGTTGGAGACCCCGGAGTGACAACTTTAGCCAAACTGACCACTTTACCTTGCAACAGTTGGTCAGGCCATGACCCTGTGGCTTCGGATTCAGCATACATATCACAAAAAACTTGCAACACGTGATGAGGCATACCTTTGAGATCTGCCAAGGTGACACCATCCAGCCCATGAGAAGTTGTGCGCTTTTTGCCTTTAATTAGGGAGGCCAAGACCTCAGGTTGCAGTGATGGCCAATTATGTTGTGCAGGTGGAATATACTGCTTGATGAACGCAACAATTGTTGACCAACGCTCAGCTGGTACATCTGCATGTCTCATCCATCGTTCCCTCCAAACCGCAAGAAAGGCTTCTTCCAAATCCACATGGTTTCCCACAAACTTTGTCTGAGAAACAACATCCCCAACACTCAACACTTCAGGATTTTCAACCCACAAGGCGTCACCCTCATGATGAATGACCTGCAACCGCTGACCCTTGCAAACAATTGGAACCTCAGGAAGAAAAGGGCATGGTTGATCCAACGTGATCTGGCCAACTTCCTCATCAACAGCCTCAATGTTAGCTCGGGCTGGTTGGAGCAACACGTCAACCCCAGGGATTTGAGGGGAACGAATGTCGGAAAACACCAGGTTTGGGTTTTGATCCCGCCGAAAGCGTGCATATTGCTTGGACTGATTTCTCAACTGCAGCTCAAGATCCCGCACAGCAATGGAAAAAGAGTCAAACATCGCACTGGCAACTTCAGCATCGGGGGGAAACATGGGGCAGACTTCAGGGGCATCATTTGTTTTGAAGGCACAATTCAGCCACCAATCTGCAAATGAAACTTCAAACCCCGTAGCCCGCAAAACGGCTCCCCAAGACTCTGCCTTTTGAATAGCCAAAGAAGGTTGGGCACTGTTGGCAAGACGTGCATATGCCTGAATCCGACGTGCCTGACGAATCCACTGCGAATGTCTCATTGAAGGCCCAAAGAAACCAGGCTGAAAATCACCTTTTCTCCCCACTTTGACAGGCGAAAAGAGGCCAGACTTGCTGCGCTTAGGTTGAGTACGTGCCGCTCGCCCAAGCATCCTTTTGTCAACCGGGTGTGGCATTTTTTGAAGAGCTGATTGTTCCAGTTCATTCCACACACGATGATATTCACTGGTCATATCCCCAGAGGCAGGCTGCCAATGGAGATCGGTAGCAAACTGATTCGGCCACTGCATTGGATAGGGGGAAGGCCAAACCCAAACCTCAGGAGCATTCTTTAAGGCATGAAAGCGCCCAAGCAACACCGCGTGGTCCGGCCAAACATCATCCAACACTTCAACGCCAAAAAGCAAATCTTGC